CATCGGCTCTGCCGCGTTCTGCCTCCAGCTGCTTTCAGCGGCAGGCACGTCTTTTCTAGCACCACTGTCCTCTCTCGATCCCGACCTGGTGTGATTATCTCTCTCTCTCTCTCTTTCTTTACCTCCCTGAGGCGAGAAAGAGGCTTCGCTGTCTAGAGCCGCAGAGCCTTTGCTTCTCCAGATCGGCGGCGCGGGAGCGGTCGCGCGTCGCGGAGCTCGAAATTGAGTGGCCCTCTGCATCTATCTGCCCCTCTTCCCCTCTCTCTCTCTCTGCTTGCCTCTCTGCCTCCTGTTGCCAGGTGTGCTGGAAGTACGCGCAGAAGAACGAGGCCATGTCGCCGCAGTACGTGGCGCAGGCTCGGGACAGGGCAGCCGGTGCGTGCCTCAAGAGTCACCAGATGTCACGGGGGACGACCCCCACGTCCTTCCTCCTCATTTCTCCTCTGATGTCGAGAGGGAAACGTCTATACAGAAGTCTCGACCAGATGCTATCTCATTGTGATGTTTAAGGGGCGTGTGCAAAAGTGAGCTTGACTGCTGTGGATGGCTGTCCGCCCTCCCAGGGCAACACACGCAGTCGCTCACAATTGGCGAGCAGGGGTGTCCGAGGGGGAGCCGGCGAGCCGTTCTTCGCCGAGGACAAGCAGGCGAAGGATGATCACAAGGAGGAGGCGGATGAGGCATTTCAGCAGGAGAGGGATGAGGACGACGAGGAGGAGGCGAGGGGGAGGAAGAGCAAGAGGTTGGAGGAGGAGAAGAAGAGGGACGTGGAGGGAGGAAGAGAAGGGGGAGGAGCAGGAGTAGGAGGAGGAGGAGGACGAGGAGGAGGAGGAGGAGGTGTTTGGATTGGACCTGGTGTCGGAGCTATCTTCTCCCCTTTGAAGCTGGAATGGCAAAATCTCATGTGAAGGCGAAGGGAGGGGGGGGAGAGGCACAGCAGGGCACATCCTCGGGAACCTGGATGGGGTACCGTAGCATTCTGGTACACTCGACCTGATTAAACGAATTGGCATATTAGTTTGCGTTTCAAGAAATAGGGGAGATGGATTTGAAGAGGCCTTCACTTCCTCTGTCATGCCACCGTGGTGAGCGCCAGCATTGGCAAGGATGCCATGTTCAGAAGGCCGTGCTCGACATTTCCTGCCTCGTGAGACGCTCACTCGCAGGTCGAGGGAGGCTTCTTGTTTGCCCAGCTTGTCCTGATTGTTCTGTATCTGGGATGCACCTCTAATCAGCAGGTTGTCGACGTAAGACGGGATGCCCTGCTGGCTAGGTTCAAGCTCCTGGATCTTTGCTTTGAATGTAGTGCCAGGGACATCCATCTGTCGTGGCTGGTGCGGGTGTCTCGACCAGTTTGCATGAACATGTAGAAGAACCTGCTGTTCGGGCACCTTGAACTTGCCATCCAAGACAGTCGGCTTTTTCCACGTGGACGAGCTTGTGGACCATTTGCGTTGACTGATGCTTCCTCTTCTCCTCTTGCTTGCGGCCCTTGGAAACGGCATGCCACTGCGGAAACGGACGTGCTTTAGGCTCTGGATATGCGCGAGCTGCCGCTCTTGGCACCCGATCAGTGAAGTCGCAGCCTGCTGAATCTACCTCCTGACGAGCTCGGCTCGTTACGTTTGGGGGCTCCTATCCTAGTCGGGGTTGGATAGACCTCCTACCCTGGGCGTCGCGGCCGTCGTTTTTGCGGGTCCAGGCCCGTCGGTTTCGGTTACAGGCCGTTTTCACTAAGGGGAGGTTGACTAAAGGGAGGCTTGCCCACCGCCGACCTAGGCAAGTTCCTCCTAGAGGTGCAGCAAGGCGTTCTTGAAAGCGGTGATGATGTCCACGTCGGGATGGACATCGGCGTTCCCCTTTGTTGATCGTCGGCTTAGTCTGTGGGCGCCCTTGGGAGCCCCAACTTTCCTGAGGATGGTGCGGTGGTTCCGCAGCCAGTGGCGAATTCCCGAACGGCTTGGAGTGAGCTGAAGTGTTCCGGGAGTCTTGTGCAGCACAGCCTCCGCCGAGCAGGTCCCGTCGTGCTCTGCTCGGTCTGCGAGGCGTACGCCGTGAATCCTGTTCGTGGCTCATCCTGAGATTGCTGCGGCTCCCTGCGCAGAGCTGGCACCTCGGTTCGAAGGATTGCAAAAAAAAAAACCGAAGGATTGCAAAAAAAACCTAGGATTGCAAAAAAAACCTAGGGTTTTTTTTGCAATCCTAGGTTTTTTTTTTGCAATCCTTTGCAATCCTTGTTTTTTTTTTGCAATCCTGTGTTTTTTTTTGCAATCCTTCGACTCGAGGTATCGTCGCCTTCAGACCTTAAAACGAAGGCAAGCACCTCATATCCGGCGTTGATCTTGGACCTCCCATCCTGTTGCGGGCCAGGAAGGTTGCACATACGACGGAGCTGCTGCCGCTCCCTCCCCTTTTCTCGGCGTGAACGTGTGTGGGAGCGGGGGTGGGTGAGCGGGGCGGGAGTCTTTTCAGTTTCCTGACACCACGGGTGAATCCGCCTTCTGGGAGTCTTTGTCTGGCCTTCCTTTCGCTAGCGACTCGCTGGCGACCGGACGGAGGATGATCAGCAGTAGGACCAGGAGCTTTAGAGGAGGCCCAGAATTGAGAGGCGCCAGTAGGAGGAGAGGTACGAGGAAGATGAGGATCAGGAGGAGGAGGAGGAGGAGGAGGATGAGGAGGAGAGGCATGAGGAGGAGAGCCCAGCTCGCGCGGGAGACCTCGAGCGTCGGGCCTGACGCAGCCCTTTTCGGACCGAGGTTCCCGCTGTAGCTCTTGGCCGGCCCCGCTCTCGAGTGCCAGCATGGGCGAGTACGACCACGAGGGGGCGCCTGCAATAGGGGTCGCCGGCCGCTGCATGACGTGGCACTCGGCGGCGCGGAAAGAGCGGACAGCCGGCGGCGAAGTCGGAAGCCTGCCCTCGCCGATCAACGATTCGGGCCACTCGCTGGGCGACGGGGGCAGGGCTCGGAATTCGTTGAACGCGTGGCGGAGCCCGAACTCGACCTCCGCCTCCCGCCGATGCAGGAGGATCGGTGGTTGGTGGGGGTGGGCCTTGGCTTGGCAGCCACGGAGAGCCGACTCCCCCCCTCCTCCTCCTCCTCCTCCTCCTCCTCCTCCTCCTCCTCCTCCTCCTCCTCCTCCTCCTCCTTCTCCTCCCTCTCCTCCTCTTCCCTCTCCTCCTCTTCCTCCTCCTCCCTTCTCCTCCTCCTCCTCCTCCTCCTCCTCCTCCTCCTCCTCCCTCCTACTCCTCCTCCTCCTCCTCCTCCTCCTCCTCCCTCCTCCTCCTCCTCCTCCTCCTCCTCCTCCTCCTCCTCCTTCCTCCTCCTCCTCCTTCTCTCTCTCTCTCTCTCTCTCCCCCTCCTCCCTTCTCCTCCCCCTCCCCCCCCTCCTCCTCCTCCTCCTCCTCCTCCTCCTCCTCCTCCTCCTCCTCCTCCTCCTCCTCCTCCTCCTCCTCCTCCTCCTCCTCCACCTGGTGGGGGCGGCGCAGGCCCCTTTCTGGACGCCTCCTGGCCCCTCCGGGATCCATCCAGCCCGCGGTCAGACGCAGCTTGAAACTTCATTTTGTCGCAGCGCGTGCGGGCGCGCCGCGCTGCGCGGGAGAAAGGAGGGAGGAAGAGGAAGAGGAAGAGGAGGAGGAGGAGGGAGAGGAGGAGGAGAAGGAGGAGGAGTTGGAGGAGGAGGAGGAGGAGGAGGAGGAGGAGGAAGAGGAGAAGGAGGAGGGCACAGAATGGCGGATTGCACACGCAGCTCGAAACACTGGCCCAGGTGCGTTCTTCAGGTGTTCGACCATGGGCCCCTTGTTCACCGCAGCCATGCAGCATTCGCTCCGAAGACCGCAGGCCCGAAGACCGCCGCGGCCCGCCGAGAAGCGTCCGAAGACCGCCGAGGACCGCCGAGGACGGCCCGGGAGCGATGGGTAACAAGGGGTCCATGGTCGAATACGTAACGTTCTGGGAGGCACGCATGGTGGCGTCTCTGAGGCGAGAAGGCAGAGGGGGGCCAGCTTTCTCGAGTCAGCGCCTGGCACATTGATGTGGCGTGTGTCTTAGCGGCGGGTCTTGCTTTCGTGCGGGCTCGGCGCGCTCCGTGGCCAAATCGGGCGGCATTGGCTCCATGTTTTGGCGATTATTTCCTCGATCTGTGGATCTGGCGCCCACGCGCCAGATCTACGGATTTCTACGGTCCTACGGTCGGGAACTGTTGGTTCGCGTGTCGCTCCGCCGGTTCTGGCTCAACACGCCCTGGCGCGACACGCTGACTACACTGCGGACCCCGAGCATCAACGGTCCGAGCCTGTCCCGGCCTCCCGCCCCGCGGAGCGGAACGACATGCTATCCGCTTGCAGGGCACAGCGTGTCGCTGGGGCCGCCGCCGTGACACGCTACGCAAGAGCTTCGGACCGTAAACCAATTTTGCGGTTTGCCCGATGTTCTACGAAAGCGGGGGCTAGCTAAGCTGCTCGGCGTGGCGCATTCCAGCATGCGCGATTCACCTAGCGCCAGAGAGTGCGTTCGCTTGCCAGGGCCTCGGCACTGCACTGAGAAGAGACTTGATAGACGTTGATCATCGGCTGCCCGCGTTCCCTTCCTTTTCCCATTCCCCCTTCTCCAGAATATGCGCTGACATACATACAAAAGACAACGAAGTTAAACTAATGAGGGGGGGCTCAGACGGGATGGGACCCCTCAGAGACCATGCGCCCCCTGGAGGGCTCCTCCGCAGGCCGTCTCCTCTTGCCCTGAGCCCCTCTTATGTGCGCGCCGTCAAGGTACGCCCGCACCGTAGTGAGGCACCCCCACTCCATCTGGTGCTCAGAGGAGGAAATGTACCCTCACCGCTACCCTTGCCTCGTTTCTCCTGTTTGGGCCTCCTGGGAGGCCCTCGTCGCCACCGCTGCATTCGCCTCAAAATCCTTGTCAGAACGCACCCGGGGAGAGGTCTGAGGAGTAGCAGTATCGGTACCTTTTGGTGTCCCCAGGTGCTGTTGCGGCGTTGTGGTTATGCTGCTTTCCCTCATCTCCGTCGCCACGGGCGCCATGAACATCAGCGATGACATCTGGGCAGATGGCCCTCGTCCAGCTGCCACTCCTCCTCTTCCAGCTCCCGTTCCGGCTCCTCCTCTGGGGCTCCCTCCTCATCCTCCAGCGCACTCTCCTCCTCCCCTCTTTTCTGGTGCCCTCGACATCTGGCTGCCGCTGCCGCTGCCGCCGCGGCTGCTGCCCCTCCGAACCCAGACGCACGACGTCATGATTTTGCTATAACGTCGACCCCCAAGGGTCTCGACCCGTTTCCCAGGGAGGGTTTTGCATCCTGAATGGCTTTTTGAGATAGTTCCCAGGCCCGATCAGGGCCCCTGGAGGCCGAAAATAGAGAAACACCCCCTGCCGTGATTTCTTCGTGACCCGAGGGAGGTCTGGGAAGCCAGCCCAGGACGATCTCGCCTGGTCCGTCTTCGACGCCGACAGCACCCGCGCCTGGAAGGCCTGGACGAATGCCCGGGAGCTGGCCGACCCCGAGAGTGCGCAGGCTCGATGGGCGCCGACCACACACCGACACGCGTCCTCCTCCTCCTCCCTACCTCCTCCTCCTCCTCCTCCTCCTCCCTCCCTCCTCCTCCTCCTCCTCCTCCTCCTCCTCCTCCTCCCCCTCCTCGTCTTTCCCTTCCCTTCCCTCCTCCTCCTCCTCCTCCTCCACCTACACGCGTGCCCATCTTGGCCTGGGCAAGCCCGCGCCCAGGGCCGGCGTGTGCTGCCAGGGCGCCGAAGTAAGGGCCGCTGTGGGTTCCGAAGGGGCCCGCTGTTCCCTGGGCCATGCCGTGGTAGTTCCTCTGTCGGGGGTGGACAGAACCCCCAATAGTGACACGTCGATTAGTGCATTGTCCGTTTTCGGTTTTCGAGAGGGCGCCGTGGCCGTTATTTTCCAGGCTTGCGCCCGCCAGGTTTGGGCCCGAAGTCGTTTTCACTAAACCACGTTTTACTAAAGGGAGGTCTGTCCATCCCCGACTCTGGCCCGCCTCGTGCACCCGGGCGCTTGTCAGGAGAGAAACAGGTACCCATACCGCTGCCCTTTCCTCGTGTTTTCCTTTTTTGGGGGCCTTCGCTGAGGCCCTCGTCACCACCGCTGGATTCGCCTCGAGTTCCTGGTCAGAACGCACCCCGGGAGAGGTCTGGGAAGTAGCGGTATCGGTACCGGTTGGTTTCCCCAGCTTGTGGTGGCAAAACGGGGCTTCGTTCCTTATTCAGCGGTCCTTGCTGCGGCAGCTTGACTGTATCAGAGGAGGACAAGTCGGGAGCCTTGAGACGGGGGGCAGTACAAACAGGGGTCAGCCAGGGCTCCGGATCTTGAAGAAATCCTGCAGAGCCAGGGGTGCGCTGACCCGGGTCAGCGCGCAGGATACTGCAAAGCTTGACTGGCCCGGGGTTTCATTGTCCCAGGTTCAGTGTGTCCCTGAAGAAGGTACCGATACCGCCGCCCTTGCTTTGTTTTTGCCGCCCTTCTGGGCCTCCTGGTAGGTCCTCATCGCCACGGCTGGATTTGCCCCGAAGTCCTGGCCAGAATGCGCCTTGGGAGAGCTCCGGGGACTAGCGGTATCGTCGGCCAGGCCCCTTCGCGACACGAATAAATCACGGCGGCCGTTTTCGTCGCTATTTTCAGCCTCTGGGGGCCCTTACCAGGCCCCGGGGCCATCCAGAAACGACTCTGGATAAGAAACGGGTCCTGGGGAATGGGTCGAGATCTTCGGGAGTCGATGTTATGAACAAATCACGAAGTCGGGGGTCTGGGTATATGCCCTCGGGGATCGAAGGAGGAACATCTGCATGAGCACGAGCTTCTGCCGTGCCGCGCGGATTTCTTGGATCGGCGCTGGCCCCCCCCTGGCGCGCTCGCAGGTGGTCCAGCGCAGGTCTAAGAAATCCGCGCGGACCGTCCAACGTTGATGCCTTTTTTTTTGTTTTTCCTCTCGTGCAGCGACTCTGGGCCCAGGATCGCCTTTGCCAGGATCCGTGTCGGTGCCCGGTTGATGCCCTCCTGAGGACAGGCGTCTTTCTGGCAGTGGCCCGCCCGCCGACAAGCCAGACGGAGGGCTGGTGGACTACGAGTTCGGCGGTTCCGAGTGGTGGAGTTTCACGTTCTTGTACAAGAGCGACCTGGTTGATCGGCAAAACCTGCAGACTCCTCGGATGAATTGAAATCCACGGTCCGCAGTACTGCAAGTTAGGATACAATTCCTGTAATGTTTAATTCAGCATCGGCGCTGGCACATCCATGGCCCTAAACCAACATACATGTGCAGACAGCCGTTTACTTTCGCTTGATTCCGTTTGATCCAGCGGCGTAGTTCGGCTTGATGTACGGCTTAACTCCGCCCAGTATGGCATACTGGCCATTTTAACGGGCTCAATAGCTCTTAGTTGTTCACATGCAGACCTTCCAGTTACGTTGCATCCTCGGGGAACCTCGCCTGCCCCCCAAATTGATGTTTTTGCTTGTGCCCGTCGCTCGATGCGGATTTGGCGTGGATTCGACGCGGACTTGATGTGCATTCGACGCGAATTCGGCGAGTTCGACATGGATTTGACAGGGATTCGACACGGATAGGGGCGCGACGTGACAGAGAAGGTCTCTTGAATATGCCACATCATCTCAGGAGGTGCCTCCTCATGGCAGATTTGGAGCCCAGGAGCTCTCCCACGTTCAGGCCTCTTTCGGCAGAGTGGTCCCTTTCAGCGGGACGAATCGTCCTTTATAGTTCTCGCGAAGACCTCCCAGGACCCAGGCCACTGACGTCATATTTGTTTCTCGCATCGTCGACTTATTCCCCAGGACCAGTTTTTGACCCTGACCCTCTCTTTGACGGCTCCAAGGCCCAGTAAGGGCAACCAGAGGCACAAAAAATAGCGGAAACCCACCCGTCGTGATCATTTAATCGTTTCGCTCACTCCGCCGGCCCATATTGTCGCAGCGCTGTTGGCTTGCCGAGTGGTCGTTTGCAGTGTAGGCCTGCGGGGGCGGGGGCTTTTTTCTGAGTTATTTGGCTCGGACTGATGCCTGTTGGGGCTGAAGCAGCTCTCGTGGAGCAGTCTGGGGGCGATTCGTCTGGACTTTCCGGGGGGTTGTCGGAGGAATTGCTTGTTTTTTTGCACGGGGGTTCTAGGTGTTCGCTGCCTCGGCAGCAATCACCTAGGCATTGCCTCGGAGGACCCTCCGAAGAGTGCTTTAACAGGGTTCGGCATTATACAGCCTCATCTCTGCCGTTTGTGTGAAAGCTCGTTGTCCAAGCGGCGCTGTTTGGGACTCTCGGCAGGCGCCTGCTTCGCGGGTTTTGCTTCTTTTTGGTTTATAGCATTCCTTACATTTGCGCAACCAATGATAGAAGATGGGTAACCAATGATATGACACCCGTAAGTGTCTAGTCTCACAACTAAATACAACCAATCTAACTTAATCAGAAGCGTATAGAGTCTGACTCAAAGAATGTAACAGCTCATACGTGTAATTACCACATCAGCACACATAGACACATGCAGTTACATGTAACGCAGGGTAAAGTATAGGAACTGTTGCTAACCTATGTGAACTGATGCATTCTTATGTTAACCATATGTTGACGTATGCTGACTTTTGTTAAACTTATGTCAACTTGTGAAAACGATGCCATTTTCACAACAGCCTCCTCCTTCTTCTCCTCCTGCTGTCCCCCTCCTCCTCCTCCTCCTCCTCCTCCTCCTCCTTCTTCTCCTCCTCCCTCCTCCTGCTCCTTTTTAAGCGCGAACCCTCTGGCACACAAAACTACTACCACTGCTGCTGTAGCTGCTACGACTATGTCCTTCGTCAGGCTAATTGCTTTCCTGTGGAAGCGCTTACCTTCAGCGTACCTTTAGAGTGTGAGTTCAGCGTACCGTCAGCGTACCTTCGCGTACCTTCAATACGGTTTATTATTAGGTCCCAACCATCTTGTGGTGTTGGGTCATCGTTTTGAGCAGACAGCGCCCCGCGTTTACTCCTCCTCCTCCCGCTGCCGCCTCCTTCCTCTCAGCATCAGCATCATCACCATCATCATGATCATCATCATCAGCAGCATCATCATCATCATCATCACCACCACCATCATCATCATCAGCATCATCATCAGCATCAGCATCATCATCATCGGTATCGTCATCATCATCATCGTCGTCATCATCATCACCTTCATCGTCATCATCGCCATCATCGTCGTCATCAGCATCGTCGTCATCGTCGTCGTCCTCATCATTGCCATCATCTTCGTCGTCACCATCATCGCCGTCATCATCTCCTTGCCTCTGCCCTCCGCATGTCTCTGATTCGGCTCACCCGCAACAGCGTTTCGTGGCCCCATCGGAGCTCTACCGAAGGCGCCAGTAGCAAGGTTCGCATGGCGGCCTCGGGCCATTTCGGCACACCCCTCACCAGGATCGTGGCCCCATAGGAGCTCTACCGAAGGCGCCAGTGCCAGGGTTCGTATGGCGGCCTCGGGCCATTTCGGCACACCCCTCACGAAGATCGCGGCCCCATATGGAGCTCCACCACGGGCCCCAGGGGCAGGGGTCGCATGGCGGCCCGCCCCATTTCGGCGCACCCTTCATCGGGATCGTGGCCCCATACGGAGCTTTACCGAAGGCCCCAGTGGCAGGGTTCGCATGGCGGCCTCGGGCCGTTTCGGCGCACCCCTCACGGGGATCGTGGCCCCATAGGGCGATCCACCGAAGAGCCAAGTGGAAGGGAGGCGAAGAGTAGCAGCTCCGAGCCAACAGGAAGGGAGGTCGGGCAGAGGAGTGGCGGGAGCCGAGACGAGGACGTTAGCAGTACGCCTTGAAAGAGCCAGGCCAGGTTCCTCATGGGCCCAAGATCTGTGCACGCGCCCTCCTGGCATGGGCAGGAAGGCATATACGCAGGAGGTGTCGCCGTCCTCTTCCTTTACCTGCCGAAGGTCCAGCCTCTCCCTCTTTACCCCGTCTCATCATCCCGTGTTGCTTCCTTCCTAATACTGATGCTCCTCCTCCTACTTCACAATTTCGATACTCACACCTGCATATGTTAGGGTCCTCCGCCAGGCTAAGTTCCGTTTTGAGCGCGTGTTTTTAGCGTACCTTCAGCGCACCTTCGAGGTGTGAGTTCAGCGTACCTTCAGCGTACCTTCGCGTACTTTCAACATGGCTTCTTATTGGTTTCCGTTGTAGGCGCGTGCCTTCAGCGTGCGTTCAGCGTACCTACAGCGTACCTGAAAACTTGTTTTCGTATTGTTATCCTTCATATGCGCACACCTACAGCGTACCTTCAGCGTACCTTCAAGGTGTGGGTCCAGCGTACCTTCAGCGTACCTACTGCGTACCTGCAGCGTACCTGCAAAACGGTCTTCTGATTATGTTCCTTTTACAAACGCATACCTACAGCGTACCTGCAGCGTGCCTTCAAGGTGTGAGTCCAGCGTGCCTTCAGCGTACCTGTAGCGTACCTACAGCGTACGTAGTGCGTACCTGCAGCGTACCAGCACTACTGTCTTCTTATTGTTTTCCTTTGTTATAAGCGCATACCTACAGTGTAACTAAAGCCTACCTTCAAGGCTTGAGTCAAGCGTACCTTCAGCCTACCTTCAGCGTACCTTCAGCGTACCCTCAGCGTACCTTCAAGGTGTGAGAGAAGGAGGAGGAGGAGGAGGAGGAGGAGGAGGAGGAGGAGGAGGAGGAGGATGAGGTAGGGACAAGCTAGGTGCGCTCGCGTCATATCTGACGTCCTACCCCTCCCTCCCATCCCTTACCATGGCGCTGATTTTTTTATTCGCGGACGCGTGTCGTAGCGGACTTGTGGCTCCGCGCGCGCGTGCGTAGTGGGTGGTGGTGCGCGTGCGTGCGTGCGTGCGTGCGTGCGTGCGTGTGTGGTTGTGGTGGTGGTGGTGGTGGTGGTGGTGGTGGTGGTGATGGTGGTGGTGGTTGTGGTGGTGGTGATGGTGGTGCTGGTGGTGGTGGTGCTGGTGGTGCTGGTGGTGGTTGTGGTGGTGGTGGTGGTGGTGGTGGCGGGCGGATGGGCGCGCGAGAAAGAGAACGCCATCTTGAACGACGGAGGCCAAATACCGATCCGAAAATGAGACCCACGCTGCAGCGGGAGCACGATTCGGAACGATTCGGGAGCAGAAATGAGGCCGGCGCCTCAGCGAGAGCAGCATTTTGAAAAGAAAAAGCACAAGCGAAAACCCGTTTCCCGGGAATCCTGTGTGTTAAAAACCATACGCGGGGGGGTGTCGGATATCTTCGGGACGCCATCAGGGGAAGTGGGAGAGTATTTTCATATTGTGTAATTGTGGAGGAGGAGGAGGAGGAGGAGAAGGAGGAGGAGGAGTCAATGCCCGCATCCATCAACCTAGAAAACTTTTGAGCAGTGGCCTGACGAAAACCCCAACCATAAGCAGTTGTGGATACCGCATTCTGGGTCCATCGTTCTATGAGGCCCTCGGTGGAGCTCCCTATGAGGCCACGAGTCGTGTGAGGGGTGTGCCGAAATGGGGCGGGGCCGCCATGCGTACCCTGCCACTGGCGCCATTGGTGGAGCTCCCTATGAGGCCACGAATCGTGTGAGGGGTGTGCCGCCGAAATGAGGCGGGGTCGCCATACGAACCTTACCACTGGCGCCCTCGGTGGGGCTCCCTATGGATCCGCGATCCCCGTGAGGGGTGCGCCGAAATGGAGCGGGACCGCCATACGAACCTTACCACTGGCGCCCTCGGTGGAGCTCCTATGGGGCCACGATCCTCGTGAGCGGTGCGCCGAAATGGGGCGGGGCCGCTATGCGAACCCTGCCACTGGCGCCCTCAGTGGAGCTCCTTATGAGGCCACGATCCTCGTGAGGGGTGTGCCGAAATGGGGCGGGGCCGCCATGCGAACCCTGCGCCTTCGGTGGAGCTCTTATGGGGCCACGATCTCCGTGAGGACTGCGCCGAAGCGGACCGAGGTTGCCATGCGAACCCTGCCACTGGGGCATCCGGTGGAGTTCCCTGTGGTGCCACGATCCTCGTGAGTGGTGTTCCGACATGGCCCGAGGCCGCCACGCGAACCCTGCCACTGGCGCCATTGGTGGAGCTCCTATGGGACCGCGATCCTCGTGAGGGGTGTGCCGAAATGGCCCGAGGTCACCA